ATTTGTCCATTCAGACCTATCTGGTACCACTACCCCAATGACTCGAGCACGTTTGCGATGGATGACGGTTACTTGGTTGGCCGTGATATTTTTGTAAATCCAATTTATGAACAGGGTGCTACTAGTAAACAGCTATATTTGCCTGGACCCGAGGTACGCAGACAATCGAAATTCAGGACAGGACTGTCCTAATATGTTCTATTTGTGCATGGTGTATGTATATATACAGCTATGTGATTATATATGTAGTATTGTCAGATATATATGAGTGAGTGTGTGAGTGTAAATAACCCAAATAATCGGTCTTATGTTTCATCACTGTGCTGTTTGTGCTATTGAAATGCACCTCCATCGTCGTATGGCTATGGTTGTGGTTGTGATACGTCCAGAAAATGTCGTGACAAGGGATTTTGCCAATGCCCTCCTACATTATAATACCTCACAGTAAAATAGAGCCAAAGTTGTGCGTATTGATATAAACATACCTCCAGTAATATAGAGGCAAAGTTGTGTGTATTGATGTAAATATACCTCCAGTAATATAGAGCCAAAGTTGTGCGTATTGATGTAAATATACCTTCAGTAATACAGAGCCAAAGTTGTGCGTATTGATGTGAATATACCTCCAGTAATATAGAGCCAAGGTTGTGCGTATTAATGTGAATATACCTCCAGTAATATAGAGCCAAAGTTGTGCGTATTGATGTAAATATACCACACAGTAATATAGAGCCAAAGTTGTGCGTATTGATTTGTGGTTACGCACACCACGGTCGTTATTAGTTACGAGCCAAGCCACCAGATACTGATTTTCCGATCCCGCCAAAACACCCAGCTTTGGTACCCACTATGGCATGTTAGTAAGTCCGAGGAGGGAGCCAATCAAATCAGTCTAGCCGTTACCATGGATACCGTACCAGCCTATCAACGTGGAGGCAGTATCATCCCCATGCAGATGAGACCCAGACGTAACTCAGTGACGATGAAGAATGACCCATATACTCTACGAGTGGCTCTGGATGCGAAGGTAGGTAGTCTATGGCAGGTAGTCTATGGTGTGGTGTGATCTTGATGTAGGATTGGTTGTCTCACTTCTCGAGGATCACAGTCCATTCATATAGAGTGAACCTGCAGGACTACTTGTACATAAACATACACAATCAAAGCCTCCCTCATCTGCATGCTCCAATCTATAAATAGACCCAGTTGTCTTGACTCTGTCTGATCCCACTTGTACATAAACATACACAATCAAGCCTCTCTCATTTGCATGCTTCAATCTATAAATAGACCCAGTTGTCTTGACTCTGTCTGATCCCATCCGGCCTCTCTCCGCTCACAGGGTATGGCGGAAGGTCAGCTGTTCGTAGACGACGGCTCGTCCACAGCACACGAGACGGGATCATACGCACTCCGCCAGTTCTCTTTCTCTAATGGACAATTAAAGAGTAGCGCTGCTCAGCCCGAAGGCAGCCACGTTGCCGCGGACAGCACTTTCACAGCGCCTAACCGAGTGGAGAGAGTGGTGGTCTTAGGCTTGAAGACCCGGCCCACAAAGGTAGGTACCGGTATACACTTGTTTTTATTCCGTGATTCAGAGTTAATTCTGGGGGTTATCGGTTGCGTTATTGCTGCATCAAGCCTTGCCCTAAGGATAAAATTTGAAACTAGATGTTTTTTATAATTAATTGAGATTGGCTTTTGGTATTGCTAAGCCATTCCTGAAATGAGCTTCCCTAAAACGTGTGTATCATTCCGTATCTTCCTTCATTACAATTGTATGCATCCCGAATCTGTTGTTGAAATATAACAACGTACGATACTTTCCCTCTTCTTCCGATACACCTGAACTCGATTGAAATACGTTTTGCCTCGAAATATCGCAACTTTGGTGACCGATATATTCATTTCTCCCTTCATAATAAATTAAACGCCTGCTCACCTCTTTTTCTCGTACATTCGGAGGTTTCATTGTTATAATATCCTTCTACCACGGTTATGTGCATACTCACCTGTTCTCATTTTTATATCCTTCTACCACGGTTATTATGCGCATGCTCATCTGTTTTTTCTTACTTGCACAACTGTTCTACTGAATGCCTTGCATATATATACACCTCACCAGGTGTCGGTGTCTGAGGGTGCGTCTCTGCGAGAGTTGGCTTTCAAGTTCGATGCGGCCACAGAGGCGTTGACGATACGCGACCCGGCAACAGGAATCGTCAAGGATTGGGAGCTAACTATCGCTTGATTGGCTTACAATGACCCCTGAATAAATGTGTAGGCATATATAGACTATACTATAGATGTATGTACCTTTAACCTTAAACCATTAAATATATCTTCTTTTGTGTATGTTGAGTTATAAGCATTTCTCCAAACAGGGTTTTTTTTCAAAATGTATGGCGTCGGGTATCATTGGGTGTGAGGAGATATCACAAGGAACGGGCGAAAGGCAGTATATAAATAAATCGCATTTAGAACACCAAAAACGCCTTGGTTAGCTATAGGGGCGCAGATTACGCATTGCTCACATGTTTCTTAACAACTATAAGGCGCAGTTTAGGCACTGCTCACATGTTTCTTAAGGAGGGTTTCTCGCGCCTCTGGTGTACCTCGTGATATGGAGCACGTTCTCTCGACCCACTCATGTACTGACGCGAGTTGAATAGTAAGTGTAGTGTTAAAGTTCAAGCTTGCCGATTGGAAACTTGGGCTTTCATCCGATCATCAACTTTAATCGTTTACAAAACCACTTAAATCTGTTGGTTATTTTCCACATTCCTTCGTCCGTATCATTCCGCGCCATTCAATGATTCGATAGTCGCCCTGAATACAAACTGTGGATCTTCTAATTCCACAGACCCTGGCAGGGGTCCAATGATTTCGATGGGTCGGGCCTGGATTTCTCGGGATATATATATATATATATGTATACATATACATATACATATATATAATATATTATATACATATAATACTATATACATATAATATTATATCCATATAGTATTATATACATATATATATATGTATGTATGTATGTATATGTATAAATATCTATATATATATACCAAGTACTATTTTAATCGTTTCTAAATGATCGAATTGGAATTGTATGAGCTCCTCTAGTTCTCGATCATAGCCGCACCTTCAGCTCCTGCGGTAGAGAACCTTCGGATACCACGCCCTGTGGACGGACGACGGTTCTTCTTCTCCATGATTGGTGGCTCGAATGTTGGGATCTGCAAACAACAACAGCAAATAATGAAAGATTAGAATTTGATACTACACCTGGTAAAACATCAACAACAGCAAGTGTGCACAGGCTTCTTGTTTTGGCTATACATACAAACTATACCATAATACAAGGAAAACACCTGTCAACGCTATGGCACATACCAGATCCTTCAGTATCTTGATGGTCTTGTGGACATCATCGGATTTGACCAGGTAGTGACCCAGCCACTGTGGGATCTCTGTGTCGTATCCTATAACCTCGTCTCCCTCTTCCGCAAACACCTTGTACGCCACCACACTGGGGTTCTCCTTCAAATGGTCCATCCACGTGACATTCTGCATGATGCCCGTCTTCGCGCAGATGATATCGAAGTCGCCCATGGCACAGTTCGGTACCGCCGCACGGGGGGGATTGACCGGGATACCAATGCTACACATAAAGAATTCGGTGAACAGATCGACGCCCCACACTTCGTTGTGGTACAAGTGTGTATGTCCACCACCCATGCGTGGGTTCACCTCGATAAGTAATGGCGTGTCTTTGATGTGGCTGTACTTGGTTTCCACATGAAACAAGCCGCTCACAAAGCCAAGCGCCTTCACGCAGTCTATAGAGTACTGATGGAGGCTCTCGAGCTTCTCGCCAGTGTATGTGGACGGGCAATTGCTGCCTTCTTCCATGAAATACGGCTCGTGCTATATAGGGCAATATTAGAAATATAATCAATTAGAATACATGGTACAGTATTAAAAATATAATCCACTAGAATATACGGTGCACTTTTGTTTGTGAAAGTAAATCAAATATCGAAAACGCGATGGTTTGAAAGACATACCGTTGGCCAGTTATCGATGGCGTTGGCATACACGCACTCTCCCTCCCACATCAGCACATCCACATCGAATTCATCCCCGTCGATATACGCCTCGAGCAGTACCACCATCTCACACCCTGGGTTCCAGGCCATATACTTGGCCTCGGTCAGTTCGCCGTGTACTCTCTCAAAGTGTTTGTACACATCTTCCAGTGTATTACACTTGTAAACCCCGTCAGAACTAGCACCAGAAGATGGTTTCAGAATCAGCGGTAAGCCAATCCTCTCCACCATAGCCTCTATCTCACTGGCTGACTCCACTTTGCCGAACCTCGGAGTCTGTACTCCCTTCTCCTCACACACCTGCCTCGCAAGACGCTTGTCACGGGCGGCGGAGTATGCTGTTCCGGGATTGCATGGGATGTTCAGTAACTCTCCTACTTCTCCCACCAGAAACATCGCGTGCTCGTAGGGTGAGAAGATAGCGTCGAAATGCACGCCGGTAGCTTTGCAAGCCTCGGCTATATTTGGGCCTGCCTTTTCATCGTCACTCATGTCAGCAAAGATGGCTTCGCCTGAGAGAAAGCGTTCAGAGCAGGTGAGAAGTATGAGATATAAAATCAGCCATCAAAAATTGTTCATCTGGACTATCGGTAGATAATATCTGTCAACATAATGTAATGAGATACTTTTTCGAAACATACACTGGGTTGAGAATGGTTTTGCAGGCTGCAGCTATCCCATATAATTTATAAGCTTAAAAACACGTATCACGCAGCCTTTCACAATAAGCGTCCGACTAATAGACAATAATGGGACTTGACAAGCAAGAAAAATGTTAAAATGTTTGTCACACATACGTAAATTACATACCAGTGAGAATGCCGTCGTCTCTGAATTTCTGCGCCAAGCCCTCGTCATCCTCGGTGTTGCCGAATACCATATGAATATTCGGCTTCATAGCTGCTACCTGTATGTGTAGATGTATATGTGCACTTAGACACGACAAGCTAGATTCTGTGAACGACTCGATGATAGTCTAAGTGGTATTTTTCTCATCGGACTATTGCCATGGTTGGAAAAGTGATACGACGCAACATGTGCTATGCACATGCCTTCGTTCTATCTTACTTATCACCGACACGGGCGGCAGTAGTGTACCCAAAATCTGAACTGGGTCCTACAACACTAATACATAAGTGCAACCTGGGACATCTTACATGTACTATTGTGCATATATATTTGCGTAATCGCCGTGTGAACGATTAAATCCATTTGCTAGCTTGAGCTGAGTGTCAACAGGATGAAGGCGCTAGCCCTAGTGTCACACTAATATAGTAAGCAAAGTACTTCAGCGGCACATTATTCCCGAGATCTTTGAGGAATATCTCCACTCACCTTCTTAAGCATTGGTAGATCGCGGTCGTAAAGAAGCTTAGCCAGAAAGCAGGTTATAAACAGAACATTCTTCCCTTCAACGGCTGCATATCGCATTTGTTGAGTAGCCTCATCAGCTCTATTTTCTGAAAGTACCGACATTTTTATCCGGTTTGTCTGTGTAATGATTGAAAATTTCATAAATAGACTCTTTCGATGTCAAGTTTGTTGTGAGAGATAGGTTATGAGAGCATACAAATTATGTAATAAACATAAAATATATATGTACATGATGTATTTATATATTTTGTAATATGTACGTATTTACTCGATGATGTGATATTCGCTAAAGTTGTAAAGTAAGCATAGACTACTGATTAAAAGAACTCCAATGAGAAATGAGAGCCTCACCACAATCCACCGGCCAATTTGGACGAAATTATTTATTCCCTAAAACGACTATTCCAGCAGACTATGTATTCACGTTGTATGACAGTATGTGAGAGCTACTTGAGAAATGACTCAAAGAGAGACCATCCGGGGTGATCCAGCACTGCAGTTACAGTATGACTGTATATTTTTAACATGTTAAATACAATAAAATGGAGTGATTATTAATGTTACAATGTATCCCATGTACAGTGATTGTACACAGTACACACAGTTGCGCTAAGCGGGCCCACTAAAAAATATTGAGAGAGCTTTTCTGAGTCTCTTCGCTCGTCTTTAATACTCTTTATAGACTTCGTGTACTCTTAGACTTGACTCTCAATACTCGACTCTCAAGTCGAGACTCTCAACTCTAAAATAAAAATACATACCACTCTTCCCCTGGTCCCGCGCTATGTATTTATTGTAATAATCTATATTCTATGTCGTACTATTTTAATTTTGTTGTTTGAAACAAAACAAAAATATATAATAATAAAAGCAACCCAAAACAAACAAACAAACAAGACCTCTATACAGTCGGTTCTCGCAGTCTGTCCACTTTTTAGTTATCTACTTCGATTGATGTTCACTTATGATTGGTCAGTATTTTCATACAAGTTATTTTCTGCTTCACACGCGGGTGAAGAACGAACAATTGATGTTTTGTGATACTGAAATGGTAGAGAAGATGACATGGCACACACGAATCTTGGACACAGATTCTACAACTAATGTTATGGATATTGATGATTTGGATAGTGCTGCAGGGGATCCATCTAGTCCACAAGGGAGTTGGAATGAATTTGTGAAGGTTTGGATTGATGTGGAGTGTGACAATGATATTCTCTCAGCTACTGCATCAAATGCATTGTTCCACAAGGAACTCATTCAGGATATATATCGCACACCCAAGGATGTAGATGAGTTCGATGAAACAGATGCAAGCGAGAAACCTGAACAAGCTGTATCGCTTGATGATATTTAAAGTGAAATTGAACAAGTGGAGAGTTATACGTTTACAACACAGCATAATGATCAGGAAGAGATATCCGACATGGAGAGACTGAAAGAATTACAAGATAGATCACTAGGAAAAGCAACTATGTGGATTAAAGATGGATTGAAATATGAACACGAGCTCTCAGAGACAGGGAATGTGAAAGTGTTGGAGCTACGACAACAATTGCGACGAATGGCGAGTTTGATAAGTTAGCACAAGCAAGTAGGAAGTACTCAGACAGCTATGACAGATTTCTGTCGTACTAAGCCTAAGCCTAAAATAAACAAATGAATAGACTTCGAATGGATTCTATGACGCTCAGAACACTAAAGTAACGATGAAAGTACACATCAACAGAGGCTACACCTTGTCAATACAACTACCCAAAACCACTCGGCCAATCAGAAGCCACGTATCGGTGTCCACTTGTTAGATGTTCCCTTTTTGGGTTGTGGTGGTCAGGGACAAGCTGCGAGGACTGAGTCTGACTATAGAGTATTTGTTTTTTCAACAACAAAAAATAGTCTAAACTAAAATCCTCTGCCCACTCAGCCAGCCTTCAGGCTTCAACTCTCTTTGAATGCACGTGTGTGACTGTGTGGGTCTGGTATAACTGTGGGACTGTGCCACTGACGG